TGTTGAGATGGGATGACGCGGAAGTTCAGAGGGCGCAAGCGGCGGCCGCGGCGTCAAGAGCCGCAGAAGGAAGCGGCGCGGGTGAGACGGAAGGTGGCCCAGAAGTGGTGGCGGCTAAAAAAGCATCGGCCTCTGGCGTGCGGAAGTGGAGACGAGGGCTGGCGGATAGCGGGTTGAACGCGGGGCAGCGTAGCGTCGTTGAGAAGGTGGCAGATCGGGTGCTGGCGCAAGAATTCGCGGGTTCCGCGAGCGGCGCGAAAACAGGCAAGAGTTGTACTGATATGCAGCCCCTCGTGTGGATGTTGCATGGTGGTCCAGGGACCGGGAAGAGTTTCGTGATAGACAAGATACGGAAGGAACTGTTCGAAAAAGAGATGGGGTGGACGCACGGCATAGATTTCCAGGTGGCAGCGTTGCAGGCTACGAACGCGTCAGCTCTGGACGGGAATACAATTCACAGTGCATTTGGGCTCGGTGTGAACAAGACGAAGGAGCCGAATGCGGGGGGCGATGCGAGCTCGGAGTCGAAGAAGAAGACGAAGAAGGAGTTGGCCGCGCAGCGTATGTCGCAGTGGAAGTGGTTGATAGTGGACGAGGTCAGCATGGTAAGTGCGAACTTCCTGGCAGAGCTGGACTCGCAGTTGCGATCGTGCACGTCAGCAGCCAATGGAGCGAAGGTAGATGGAGACGGCGTGCCCAGGCCTTTCGGAGGCGTGAATGTGTTGTTCTGCGGGGACTTCTATCAGTTGGAGCCGCCGTCTGGGACAGCCATTAATGCGCTGCCGACGTCGTACTTGAAGAACGCGAGGAAATACGCGCCGGGTGCCGCGGAGGACCACGGACAGTATATATTTTGGGGCGCCGGCGGCGAAGGCGCAGTGCAGGGAATGACTGAGTTGACGGAGTGCAAGCGCGTGGAGGAACAGGACGATTGGTTCCTTGGAGTTCAGGACGAGTTCCGCCCAGGCAACTTGTCTGAGCGCACGCGCTTTTTTTTCAATGGCAGACCGACGGATGTGCCGGGGTCGTGGGTGAACGGCGCACCGTTGTGCGGGAACGCACGTTGTCTCGAAGACAAAGAGGCCATTGCGAAGGAGAACGAGCTAGAATGTGAGGCGTGCAAAGTGGAGCGTCAGAAGAGGAAGCTCGTCGCAACGTCGCCAGAAGACGCGCGGTTTCGGGGGGGGAAATTCTTGGAGGCGGTCGCTATTTATGCGAATCAGGACATTCGTTGCCACGTCGGGAAGCAGAGAGCCGCGCAGTGGGCCAAGGGGCGAGGAGAACAGCTGCCGTGGGTCGCAGCGAGGGACCGCGCTTGCCATGGAGGGGAACAGAGGCGGCCGTACACGGTGGAGGATAAGGTACGTTGGCTGGGGTACCACGAGAAGGAGTGCGCAAGCTTGCCTGGGTGGCTGCCGCTGGCGAAGGGGATGCCCGTGGCTCTGGGAGACCACTTGGATCGGTCAAAGAAACAGCTGCTGCGGGGGCGCACAGCGACGATCCATGGATGGGTGCTGCACGAGGAGGAGGTCCTGGGAGATGAGGAGGAGGAAGTGTTGTTGCATCTTCCGAGGATGATTGTGTTGGATTTCCATGCGACGGAGTGGCGCCTGCCAGGGTGGGAGCCGGGGCTGTATCCGATATTCCCATCGAAAGGGCGTCAATGGTTCTTGGACGGATACCGAAAGCATCCTGTGTTGAGTGTGAAGCGCACTCAATTTATGATAACCCCGGCTTTGGCGGTAACGGCGCATTCTGCCCAGGGACGGACCATGGCAGCAGTGATAGCTGACCTCGAAAGAGGGCGCGGCGTGAGTTGGATGTCGAGTTACGTTGCCATCACGCGCGTGCGCAGACGAGAGAACCTGCTGATATTCCGGCCGTTTGACAGGAGATCGTACAACGCAGGCGAGATGGCGGGCACGAAAAAACTGTTGCAGGTGCTGCGAGGGGAGAATGTGAATTGGGATGACGGGGAGGCGGAGTTGATGCCAAGAGACCAGTGCGAGCGCTGCCGGCGGAGGTTGCTGGTAGAGGCGTTCTCGAAGTACGAGTTCCAGAGGAAGGAAAGGCCAGCGCTCTGCAAAGAGTGCGCGGAAGAGATGAAGGACGCTGACGAGAAATGGTGCACCACGTGTAGAGGGTGGGCAACAAGAGCAGAGGCTGACGAAGCGCCGCGGCACGGTGACGATCGGAGTGGGGATGCAGCGCCGGACGGCGGGGGGACAAAAAGGATTCGGACAATGTATTGCGCGAAGTGCAGCCATGTGAAAGCGAAGCAGAAGTCGCGGAGCGGCAACGCGAAGTGGAACGAGAGCGTCGGCACCGTGCGATGTTCCAACGATGCGTGCCTGTCGCTGCATGACGGGAAGGGGGAGATGTCGGAAGCTCAGAAGAAGCACAACGCTGCGGGGGAAAGGCTGTGTCGGAAATGCGCGGCAAACCGAGAGAAGGAGGTGCGACGGGGGAATGCTGAGGCAGCGAATCGCAAACGCAAAGCCGAGGCCGACGCGAAGTCGCTGATTTGCGCGGCGTGCGGAGGAGCGTTCTCAGACACGAAACATTTGAAGCCGGGGCAAGTGGAGGATCATCGAAAGGCGAAAGGAGCCAAAGTGGTGTGCGGAGGCTGCAAGGACCTCGGGTTCACAGCACGCAGTTGCCAGGCGTATCAGTGCAGTGGCAAGTGCCAGTGGAAATTGCCAAAGTCGGCTTTCTCCGTCAAGGCGGGCGATGTCGCGCGTGCCGAGAAGAGGGGCACCCTGAAGTGCAACGCATGCACATGATACCATTTGGGCACCTGTGCCATGGCTAGTAGAAGTGGGAGCAGCGCGGATCCGAACGAGAGGGAGGATCCCAAAAGCCCGAGGAAAAGAGGAACGCAAAGAGAGTGAAAGCGGAGGAGGATGAGGACGGGGAGGATGAGGATGAGGAGCATAGGATGAAAAGGCGCGGAGGACGGGGAGGATGGAGAGGAAGGGGAGGGTGAAGAGGAGGATAAGGGAGCGAATGAAGCCGACGAAAGCGACGCCTACAACGACAACGATAGAGGATTCATGGATGTTCGTTGGGATCTCGCGTTGGCCTTTCGGGGGCCTCCTGGAAGCAGGTTTGAGGATTCGTGGGAGCCGCGTTGGGGCTTCATTTGGGCCTCTTGGTGGCTTCATGGGCTTCTTGGGGGGCCTCCTGGATGGCCCTTGGGGCGTCGTGGGGGGCCGCTTCGGGCTCTGGGTGCATCTTGGGGCCTCCTGGGGCCTGTTGGGGCCCCCTCTTTGCCCTTCATGGGGCCCTCGTGGGCCGTCTTGGGCGCCCCTTGGGCCGTCTTCGGGCCGTCATGTGCCGTCTCGTGGCCCTCTTGGAGACCTCTTGGTCCGTCTTGTGGTGGTGTTGGGAGCCTCCTGGGCCGTCGTGGAGCGTCGGAGAGCAGAAAAGACGAGAAAGCTTAAAATGTACGTTTTGCGACGGGAATGGGACCATTTTTGGGTCTGGGAACCCTGTTGGGGCGATTCTTGGGGGTCTCTTGGGCAGTCTTGGGGCCATCTTGGGCGTGTTCGAACGCTGGTTTGGCTACTCGGGGCGTTTTTGACCGTCTCGGGGGCCCCTTGGTGCGCTCTTGGTTCGTTTTCGGGCCCTTTGCTCCCCCCGGCGGCGTTCGAGCCGGGGTCAACCGGAGCGCGGATGACCCCGGCTCGAACACCTCTGGGCTACCTTGGGGCTGTATTGGAGGCGTCCAGGGCCGTCTTGGAGCGTCGGAAAGCCCCAAAGGCAAATTTGTGAAAAATGTACGTTTCACGAAGGGAACGGGCCAATTTTTGCGCCGAGGGGCCCTCCTGGGGGTCTCTTGGGCAGTCTTGGGACCATCTTGGGCGTGTTCGAACGCTGGTTTGGCTACTCGGGGCCTTCTTGACCGTCTCGGGGGCCCCTTGGTGCGCTCTTGGTTCGTTTTCGGGCCCTTTGCTCCCCCCGGCGGCGTTCGAGCCGGGATCCACCGGAGCCCGGATGACCCCGGCTCGAACGCCTCTGGGCTACCTTGGGGCTGTATTGGAGGCCTCCAGGGCCGTCTGGGAGCGTCGGAAAGCCCAAAAGGCAAATTTGTGAAAAATGTACGTTTCACGAAGGGAACGGGCCAATTTTTGCGCCGAGGGGCCCTCCTGGGACGCATCTTGGAGGCCTCTTGGGGCCTCTTGGGGCCGTCTTGGGCCGTCTGGAGGCGATCGTCGGTGTCTTTGATCGCTCTTCGACCGTCTGTGACCATATTGAGCTCTCTTGGAGGCCACTTGAAGCGCTCCTGGAACGCTCTTGGGGCCGTCTTCGGGGCCCTCTTGGGCAATCTTGGGCGCCTCTTGGGCTGTCTTGGGGCTCTCTTGGGCTGCCTTGGAGCTTCCCTGGAGGCTGCTTGGACCGTCTTGGGGCGGTATTTAGGGCCTCTTGGGCCGTCTGGGAGCGTCGGAAAACCCAAAAAGCGAATTCGTGAAAAATGTACGTTTTACGAAGGGAATGGGCCAATTTTTGCGTCTAGGGACCCTCGTGGGACGCATCTTGGAGGCCTCTTGGGGCCTCTTGGGGACCTCTTGGGCCGTCTTGGAGGCCTCTTAGCCCGTCTTTGAGCCATCTTGGGCGTCTTGGAGCGCTCGTTTGGCGTCTCGGGGCTCCCGTGGGCCGTCTTGAAGACCTCTTGGGGCCATCTTGGCCCGTCTTGAGGCTTCCTGGGGCCCGGAAAAGCCCCGGCGGCGCCGCTCGTCCCGGGCCCGGGGGCCCCGGCGGCGCTCGTCCCGGGCCCGGGGGGGGGGGGTCAAATCGCCGGTTTGGGGTCCCGGGGGGGGGACTATAGGGGGGGGAACTATCTCACACGCCTAGAGACCCACAAGGGGTCGGCGGATTTCATGGCGCCTCTTCTTATTTCATTACGTCCCAGGCCCCCCCGCTGGGCCGCGCACATGCCGCCAGTCATGATTTGCACCCCCCCCTCTTGGACACCCCCCTCTTGGCCGCTCCCGAGAGAGGAGGAGGAGCCGGAGGAGGAGGCCGAGGCAGAGGAGCCGCTGCAGCTGCCGGGCGGCGGCGGCAGCGAGGGGGGCGAGGAGGCCGAGGACCCCGCCTCGCACGCCGTCGTCGCCACGAAGGGAGCGACCTCCTCTCCCTCCTCCTCCTCCTTCCTCCTCCTCCTCATCCTCCTCCTCCTCCTCCTCCTCCCCTTCGTCCTCCTCCTCCTCTTCTTCCTCCTCCTTCTCCTCCTCCACCTCCACCCCCAGTCCTTTTCCTTATAAGCGATTTCTCCCTGTCGCACCCCGAGGCCAGTCTTTAGGGCGGGCTGGGCGTGTCGCCGGAGACGTCCTCACCATTTATGATTCACCTTATGATTATGATTCAAAATGTGGCTCCTCCTCCTCCTCACCATTTATGATTCACCTTATGATTAATGGAGGATGACGATTAATAACCGGCCGGGGGTCGTGTTCACGCGGCGGCGCCCGGGATGACGATTAGAAAAAACCGGCCGCGGGCTGGAAAACTATTTTTAATCGTTCTCGTCCAGTCAGAAATGGTGCAGAAATAGCAGAAAACTATGTTTCAAATCGTTCTCTCCCATTGTTTGTGTTAATCGTCATCCATCCCGCATTATGATTCAAAATGTGGCTCTCGCCTGAGCGCCGCGCACATTCGTTAAAACATGCAGGGGGCTCCACGGATTGAGGGCGACTGGTTTTCAAAATGTGGCTCTCGCCCCAGCGCCGCGCACATTCGTTTTAAAACTTTGCACGAGATTCGCTGTTTGAGGGCGGCTCGTTTTCAAAATGTGGCTCTTGCCTCAGCACCGCGCACATTCCTTTATCGATTTGCAGGAGTTTCACGGTTCCCATGATCAACTTTCCGGAAATGGTGTTTTGGAAGGATTCAGGAATATGCGGGTGCAACAGTTATGTTGGTTCGCGGTGTTGAAGTCCCCAAAACTGCGTTCTGGCACGATTCCAGATCGTCAGGACGCAGCAGTCAGGTTGATCCGTGGCGTGGAAATCCCGAGAACAATGTTTTGGCCTGCTTCAAGGTCTTCAAACGGTTGCCTTCCAGCGAGGCAGTTCCTTGAATGGAAATGAACCGCTGTAGGGGCATATGAAGAGGGAGCCTGGAGGGAGGCTTAATTACAACATCGTTGATGATTATTGGGTTTGCACTGCTCCTCCTCCTCCTCCTCCTCCTCCTCCTCCTCCTCCTCCTCCTCCTCCTCCTCTTGACACTCGATCTTAGTTACACAGGCTTTCACGCTCCTTGTTGCCACAGGCCCAGGCGCTAGGCAGAATGGGCGATTTCAATGTTCACGAGCACGGCGAATCCCGTCTTTATCTTCAAACTCCCGCTCCTCGGCCTACACCTTCCCGGTTAGCTACAGCATTCGATTGCCAATTTCTTCGTTTTGCGGAAGTCGAACAAATTGCCGACGCACATCGTGCTAAGATTCGTGGTATTGACACATACGCTAGACATGATCGCATCTACAATAGCATCGTCCGTCCCACCCTCCTCGACTACAGGCCGCATTTGGGAGTGTTCTGGGAGGTTACCGCGCGGCATGAGCCTTCCGACCACGTTCCAGTTTTTCTGTCCATTATTGCCCCGCGGGCCTCGACTGAGCCCAAGCAAAAACATTCCCACCTGGGTCGCGAAGCACCCGCCGCTTGGTAGCTTCGTGGAAGATCTGATTTAGACCATTGGGCTTTCCTCCGAGCCTCCCGATCAGGTGTCTGAGATAAAGGAAATCTTCCACCTTGCTGCTGGGCATGTCTGCCGATACGTAAAGATTGCTGCTGCCGTCACCAAGGCTGACAAGGCCGCCTGCATGTTGAAGTTGATCAGAGCTGACCGCACCCGAAGCCAGAGGCATGCTCGCAGAGTCTGTCAAGGACATAAGCAGATTTTCGATTTGTTCAACCCTGAGACCATGGGCTGGCTGAACCACACAAGGTTTCATACTTACCTTGGGGAACTGATGAGGGAGCAGTTAGAGGAGGAAGAGAAGGATATTTCGAATTCCGAGTCCATGCCTGCGCCCGCCAAGAAGACGGGTATCATTAGAGTTCGCCGTTTTGCTGCTGCCTGGGCCTCACGGAGGCCAAGCATTAAACCCGCTGCTGTCAAAGGTCCTGACGGCCAGGCGCACACGGATGCCAATGAAGCTGCTGCCCGTCTTGCCGAACATTGGGGGGAGGTCTGTGACAATTCCGAACAAGTGCCCCCCCCGCAACCATCCGCTTTATGATTTTATTCAGACGGTCGACGGGGAAGGGGAGCAAGTCGTGAAGAGCACGCATCAGAGGTCTGATTGGGTCACATCCGAAGAACAGTTGTGTCGCCTACTGCTCGGCAAGAGAGACTCTGCGTTGGGGCCCGGTGGTGTCCCATATTTTGCGTGGCAGTATTCAGGGACTCGTGCGCAGGCCGTTCTCTACCAACTTTTACACCCACCTCCTGGATGGGGGGACTTCGCAGAACGATTTCAATGCCTACTGTGCGGTATTTTCCTACAAGTGATCTTGAGGGTGGAGGGGGGGTACGAGATCCAGCTGCCGTTCGTTCTCTTCCTTTATCAAACACAGATCACAAGGTAGGAAGTGCCGCCATCGCGCCCGTTTGAATGAGGTCGTTGCCGGCGAATGTCACGAAGTTCAATTGGGATTTGTTCGGGGGAGGATGATGAATGACAACATTATTAACATGTATGGGATGCTTATTTAATGGGGAGCGGTGTTTAAGGAGCCGCATTGTGGCTTCACGCTTTTCGACTTTAACAGTGCCTTCCTGGGTGTCTGCCAGACTTGGACCATGAGAGTATTGAGCTCCATGGGCCTCCCCTCATTTTTTTGTCTTTGCCATCGCCTCTTTGTATGACGGGGTATGGACGGTGATCACCATCGGGGAATTTGGGAAGGGCCAGGCGGGGGATGAAGCAAGGGTGCCCTTTGAGTGGACTTATGTATGCACTGGTGGCTGACCCTCTTCTTCGCTACGTTGTACAGCGCAAGCCAGCGCTCGACTTCGAGTTCGTAGCGTTCGTAGAGATCTTTTTTGCAGGTCCCCCCGAGAGTCGGTGAGAGGATGGTCGCGACCTCGTCGATTACGGGGCTCGTCCTCAACAACAACAAGTGCGTGATAGTCCTGATTCACGTAGAGGAGGCCAGGATTTAGGAAGTTTTCGACGTCCATGGTCAAGATGTTTTCTTGCCATCAGGTTCGAAAGTCTGGGGAGTTCCTTGGGATCGTGGTTGGGTATGACGCCTTCTCCGAAGCACGGTTTGATGCTCCCGTCACACTCAGGACGAGGACCGAGGACGTCCAGAAACTAGGTCTTGTTTTCATCCTGTCCATCCAGGGTTACAACACGTCTGCGCTTCCCGTCATGTCCCATGTTGGCCAGTTTTGGCCGCCGACCCTGGAGCTGCTGCGGTGCGAGAGGGGAAGATCATCAAGTTCTTCCCCATTCTCCTCGGCATGCCTTTCCTCCCGAAAGTATGTTCCACCTGAAAGCATTGGGCCTTCCTCTCCAGTGTCGTTCGGCAGAACGTTTGTGCAGGGCATCGATGCTCAGGGCTGCCATGTGTTCCGATCACTTCGCCATCATGCAGGAGCGTTTCCAAGCTTCTTGAGGATGACGAGCACGTGCCAGCATACAAACACAACGCATTCTTCGAACTGTCCATCTTCTGGAACATGAGGAAGGTGTATAGCAAGTACGTCGCCATCCCCAGTGCCCCCGAAGATGCTCCAGCGCAACATCACACAGTTCCTTATCCTAAATCCTAAACCGTCCTCGTGTATATGCTAGTCAACTCGTGCAAGCCCGTATTAGGCATTGGATCCCCAGTGTTACCTGTGCCGATGCTGATCTTGTTGTACTTTGAGTTAGCGATCTGAGCAAAAGGCTGCCTAGTTTTCTCATCGCCCCCCCCACATTCTCTCACCTGCCCCATGTCCTCCCCCGCGCTCCGACAGCTGCTGCCCTCGTTACCTCCTGAATGGGGCTGCTGGGCACCATTTTGTTTGCTGCCGCATCTCTGGCCATCCGCCACTCTCTGTCCTAGAGCTTGCGAACATACGCAGGCATGTGCTGCTGCCGCTGACATATTTTTCCCCGTTCAACAGCTGTCGCTGATCAGGGAGGCAGGACAGCGGCTGCGCCCTCCACGTCTGTCAAGGGCAGAGCGCGGTGCTTAGCTGGGCGGTCCTCGGCCGTCTCCGACCTCCTGCTGCGTGAACTCGCGTGGCGTTCCTCCTCCCCCTCCTCTTCCCCCTCCTCCTCCCCCTCCTCTTCCCCTCCTCCCCCTCCTCTTCCCCCTCCTCTTCCCCCTCCTCCTCCTCCCCCTCCTCTTCCCCTCCTGGCGTTCCTCCTCCCCCTCCTCTTCCCCCTGGCCCAGAGGGAACCGTGTCCTGAGGCTCCTCGCCGTGCTCCTGCGCCCGGGGCCCTCCGCGGGGCCCCGGGGCCGCCGGGGAGAACGACCCAGGATTCTGACTTCGAAGAGGGGGCTTCCAGCGAAGAGAAGGTGGTGCAAAAGATCTGGCGCACTAGATTTGCGGGGCTGTGATAGATTTGGGCGCGGCATGCATTCCGATGCGCAGATGTATGGCTGGATTTTCGCGTGCAATCCATGAGTTAGTTGCCATGCGATGCAATCCACTCCTCCGGCGTAGTACCCTTGCAACGCCATTGCTCCAAGTCTACGGCATCATCCCCTTTTCAGCTGGACCCCCGCTTGGGCCAACCAAAATGACAAAGAACCGGTCCTGGGAGAGGGCCCGGGGCCCAGGCCGCGCAGGCGGCCCCCCGCGCCAGGTAGGCCACGAGGCCGTGGGCGGCGTGGTGTCCTTCATCGGTTCCTCCCACCCTCCTCGCCTCTTCCATGTTTCGGTGGCTCCTCATCCTCATCCTCTATGATCACTGCTTCTTGTTAGTGGCCCCCCTCCGCACTCGTTGACCCGCGGCCGACCAGAAACCATGCCGACCCCACCCACGACCCCAGTAACATAATCAGTACAAATTGCAGTTTGCGGCAAAGTATGGGGCCATGGGAGGGGGGTCGCGACCATTTTGCGTGCA